ACGTTATGACTGGAGAAGGAAAATATGCAATATCTGTGCATGGTTAACAGAGATTTTGTACTGATACTTGGGTAGTTGGCTACGCTTTATCATATTTTGTCGACATGGTTAATCTAATCTGGGTAATGGGTAGTTAAACGAGAAGAGTTAATTAAACTGGATAGTTGTGGAATTGGCTTGTGGAATTCGCTCCCCAGAGAGGTTCACCTGGAGCTGTCAATTTATTCTTGTTGGTGCCAGGCCAAATCTTTTTTATTTTCCCAATGTTTTAAGACCTGACTGTTTTACTTGGGGTTTTATTATTAGTTAAATTTTAGGATGCTGTGTTTTAATTTTTCAAAAACATTTTGTATTGTTAAACTGTCCCAAGACTTCGGTAATAGGATGGTCTACAAAAGTTTTAAATAACTAAATAAATAAATAAATAAATAAATAAATAAATAGTTAAAAGTCACTTTGGTGGTAACTTCTAAATGAGAGAAACAATCATTCTTGGCATCAAAACACTATTTTCCTCAAATGCTCAAGGTGTTTGTGCTTTTCCTTCTGTGGGGTCAAGTCAGAATCCTTCCTGATCCATCCTTCAGCAAATTGAAGCAGGACTCAGGTATCCCTGGGTCTAGTCCACTGCTCACTTCAGCCTTGCAGCTACTATTTTCAGCCGTGCATTTATTTCTTTCAAAATAGTGCAGAAAAAGGCCAGGCAAAGATTGAGCAGTACAGTTCCACAACCCATGAGAAAGTCTCATCCTCAGCTTGCATCTCTTGTAAAAGGGCAATGCAGCTCACTCTGGGGAGCCAAAAAGATCCTTGAGACTCAGATGTAGAATTGCTCAAAGAGAACGGCTGAAATAAGTTTCTGCCTGGTTTCAGGGAATGATTTTTTTCAGCAGCTCAGGAAACACATGGATGACCTTCTTGACTGATGAGTCATGTCTGAGCTACTTGCAAGATTTCAAGAATTGTTGAAAGGTGATCAGTGGTGCTGATACAGATATCAGCACCACTGATCAAGGGCCACAGCAGGAAGGGGTCCCAACCCCTTTTTGGATGCATGGGCATTTTTGGAAATTTGCTGTGGCCAGCACCACCAAAATCCTAATCTATGGGTCACCTCTTTGGCTTCTACATGGCTCTAATAACATTCTTTTGGCCATGAAATAACTCTACATAATTTGAATACTCATATGCTGCTTACCTTATTAATTCTTCATGTACAAAAATGGCACAAAACATTTCACTTTATATACATACAAAGTTGCTCTGATTTGACTAAGCCTTTAAAAAAAGGCTTTTTAAACTAAGCCTTTATCAGCAGCCTAATAAATTAAGGATTAAAAATTACGTTAATCATCCTTTAATTGAAGCAGTTATAGGACAAAAAGTGTCCCTAATATTAAGATTACACTTCCTGTGTCTCTTTTGTCATCTTAATCTCTTCCCATTTGCTACAAACTATAGGCAGCTCACTGAAAAAGGATTTAGTTTTATTTTGCCTGTTTTTTCAATATCTCCATGAGGCCCTTCAAAATATCTGCCTGTGGAATCTTGTAGGACTTTAGCATGGTGGTCAAGTCAAGGGAAGTCTCAGTGTACATTCCCCCAATGACAGCTATCAAATTATTCTGGATCACACACTTGTAGATGGGGACAAAATGGTGCTGTGCAGAAATTAGGTTCAAGGTGGTCTTGTATGTCATCTGCATATTGTGGTAGCTGTCGTAGATGCGGAATCCCAGAGTGATGTTAGGTAAGACAGTGGGATTTGTGTTGATCTCCTTTATAGTAAATATCAAGGCCAGGATATCCCGGTAGTTCTTTGGCACTGCACTGCAATACAAGCAATAAAACTGTAAAAGCATGGAAGCATTTAAATCCATGAAGGACGTGGATTCCTTCATGGACTTAATCCATTTCATATTTGGTCACCCTTTTCTTTTTCTGCCTTGGACTTTCCTTAGCATGATTTTCTTCTCCACCAAGTTTTGCCTTCTCATGATGTGCTCAAAGTATGACAGCATTTGCTTTCTAAAAATGTCTTTAAATAAAATGACATGCTGAAATAATTACCATTTGTAGTGGCCTCACAATTGCAAGCGGTGTTGGATATTGATTCATTCCAATTGAGGTTTCAAAACAGGGGCTGGGGGATGAGAGGATGTAGCATGGGTGATGGCTTACACTGGGAAATGGATGGGGTGGGAGGAGTCTTTTTTCCAGTTATTTTGGACTTCTCAGCAGCTTTCCATGTGGACTGGACTTTGGGGACTAATTTCTAAATTAGTTCCTCTTCTTTGGATAAGCAGTGTCAAAAGAAGGTGCTGGAGGCATTTGTTCCATCCCATGGACATTAGCCTGTGAGATGCCTCTGAGTTCTACTGTGCTCCCTACACTTTTTAACATTACACAAAATGGGTGGGGGAAGTAATCAAAAGTGTTATCAGTATACAGATAACACACAGCTTTACTTCTTGTTTCCATCTTTATAGCCCGAGGAGTGTTGGACTCATGAAACAGCATCTGGGGGCTGTCTTGGGGGATATACAAGCTCACATTTATTCCAGACAAGAGGGAGAGACTGTGGGTTAGGAAACCAAGCACTGTGGATAAGGAGCTACAACTGGTTTTAGATAGGGTTGCACCCAAATTGGAGTCTAGGTACATGCTCTGGGAGTCCTCCTGCTTCTATGCTATTTGGGCAAACCCAGGTGGCTGTGGTGTCCAGGAGTGCGCTTCACCAGCTTAGGCTGGTAGCCCAACTGCAGCCCTATCTGTGAAGATTTATTTTATTTTATTTTATTTTATTTTGGGAAATTCTATGCCGACACATCGCCAAAGCCTCGGGGCAGCTCACAATCATAAATTAATAAAATAAAACAATATAATTTAACAGTATAAATTAAGTTGCCCTGGCCAAAGAATAAAATAAATAAAGAATATTAACAATTAAAATAACGTTTGAATAAAAAGGTCTGACCTTGCAGCACTTATCCATGCATTAGTGACTCCCAGGCCAGCCAGCTATGCATGGGGATGTCTTCAAAGGTGGTTCAGAACCTACAGCTGGTGCAGGATGTGATTAGATAATATAACAGCTACACTATGGTAGCTGCACTGGATACCAGTATATTTGAAAGTTAAAGTGCTGGTAAGCACTTCCATAGGGAGAAACAGGAGTGGTCTAAGATGGGGTGGGGAGGAACCTGGAATATGTAGAATGCTTATAAGTCTCTATGTATGGAGCTAGAAAACATCAAGGATGCAACTGATAGAATTGCACCCTTAATTTTTAAAGTAGTTTAAACCCTTCATCTCTTAATCACAGTATATCGGCTGCTGTCTAGCACCTGTGCATGTGTGTTATGTGCAGTTGAGTCATCTTTGACCTATGGCAACTGTTTGAAGAAAAGCCCTCCAAAATGTTCTGTCTTGACAACTTTGTTCAGTCCTTCTAAGTATTTATTTATTTATAACTTTTATATTCCACCCTTCACTATGTCTCAGGGTGGAATACAAAGTTCAAGGCTATGGCTTTTTTTTAAAGGAGTTAATCCATCTCTTATTTGGTCTTCCCTTTGTTTTCTGCCTTTATCCCCAGCATGATTGTCTTCTCCAGTGAGTCTGTCTCATTATGTGTCCAAATTATGACATCCTCAGTTTTGTCATTTTTGCTTCTAGGCATTTGATTTGATCTAGGACCCAATAAAATTTTGTAGAAAACATTTTGATAGAATGTATTACATATAAGCTTCAGAATAATCCAACCAACAAGCCAGAATAACTTTGCACCTTTTTAGTTGCTTGAAAGGGTGCATACAGCTACCAAAAAGCAAAAAACAACCAAACCAGAAACCCGAAACCCAGAATCCAAACCCTCCCCAGAATTAAATAAAAAGGACAAATAGGCAAAGTCATCAATAAGTTTATCAGTGAAAGGTAATTATTCAAATACATAAAAGGAATAAACCCCCCCAAAAGGTCATGCAACATGCATTGTAAAAGCTAATTTAAAGAAAGAAACAATGAAACAATCAACATAACCAGGAAACCTATCAACTTGTGCAGAAAGTATGCTAGTTAGATTCTTGCACAAAACTGTGTCTGATATTGGAACTTGTACCTGAGTCACCCGCTTTTCATACTCTGGTTTCTTATCACCCCCCCTCTATTAGATTCCCTTTCCCATTCACCTCCACATAAGAATATAACATTTTGTACAAGTCAAAAATACAGCACTGCATTCAATTGGAAAAGACTTCCACAGTAAGACCTAGTGTCCAATTCCTGTCATATAGCTATTACAAATGAGGACTTGGCAAAATAAAGTAATGCAGCCAAAATTCAACACAACCACCACATTATAGTTCAGAGTTAGACTTAAGTATTTGTCCTTTTCTTTCTGGTTGGGTAAATGTATTAGTGTCACTTACTCTCATGTTTCAGCAAGAATCTTTGGGATCCAATACATATAGTGAAAACAATAGGTACACAGAACACTTATGTAAGTTGTTTGTACACTAAACTAGAGTTTGTATTTCTAGAAGAACAAATTTGTGCACTAAAATGGGAGAACAGCAGGTTGTGGGAGCATGGGAACAGCAGCTTCACTCTTCCCTTGGATATCTCTACCCCGACCATGTTCAATTGGAATAAAAATTGTGTGATAGGTTGATTTTGCTCATATAATGAATCCTTGAGCAAGACTTAACTGTTAAAGTAACAGTAAATGAAAAAAGTAGACTTTTAAATTTTGGGATTTTCTAACATTTTACCTGTCTTTCAATGACAAATATGAGGTTAATTATCTTCATGTTGTAGATATTAACTTGGAAGAAAATACCATTAAAACTTAACCAAGCCACCTAGGAATTACGGCCATGCCATGACATGCATTGTATTCTATATAGGCAACCTAGGTCAACCCAGAGAGAGAGAAAGATTGAGAGAGAATGAGAGAGAGAGAGAAAGGGAGGTTGGGTTTCAATATTTCAGTTCTCATATTAGTTAGGGATTTTTCCTCTATTTATTAGTTGATTTCTTTTGTTCAAGTGAGGTCTGAAAATAATTATGTAGCATTTAGGGAAAAATATGAAGACTAATAAACTTGCACTGGAGGTTAAGATACAGAAGATCTCCACAGCTACCATGTATTTTCCTTTGGTGCTCAGATAGGTTGGGATAAAGGATAGCCAAACACTGCAGAAGACCAACATGCTGAAGGTGATAAATTTGGCTTCATTGAAAGTGTCCGGTAACTTCCTGGCAAGGTATGCTACGGTGAAACTGGCAATGGCCAGGAAGCCCATAAAGCCCAACACACAGTAAAACAGAGAAGCTGAGCCCTCATTACATTCCACTATGATTTTTCCATTCAGGGAGTGCATATCTGTATCTGGGTATGGTGGATAAATGCTCATCCAAAGAGTGCAAATCCCTGCTTGAGTAAATGAACAAGTGAAAGCAATACAGTTTGCCAGCCTTCTCCCCACCCATTTTCTCATCCTGGATCCTGGTTTAGTAGCCATAAAAGCCAGAACCACAGTGATTGTTTTTGCCAACACACTGGAAAGAACCACAGACAAGACAATGCCAACAGCACTTTGCCGAAGAAGGCAGATAATCCTCTCAGGGTGCCCGATAAAAAGTAAAGGGCAAAAGAAGCAAAGAATGAGGGAGATAAGAAGAATGTAGCTGAGGCCTTGGTTGTTGGCTTTGATTATTGGAGTGTCCTGGTGCTTCAGAAATATCCCAAGTACCAAAACTGTGATCAGAGCCAAAGAAATACCAGATAGAATCAAAGTGATCCCCAAAGGTTCGTGGTATGATAAGTAGCTCATAACCTTTGGTATGCATTGGTTCTGCTCCAAATTGGAATAGTGATCTTCTGAACATTCAGTGCAGGCATCCATATCTAGGGGAGGAAAAGGGTGGTTTTTATAGTCAGTGTGTGAACCATTGCTCAGGAAACCTCTGTTTAAAATCTTGCTTCAGTCTGCAGCACACTACACAAGTAACTATCATTCATCCATTGCCAACATCTGCATGGACTGAAGGAGCACCTGTATGATATTGCCTGTTTGCATATTAAAGAAACTGTGGCTTTCCTGTGTTAAACTCATTGGATTGTAGCTTTCACTGTGGACAATCCCTAGCAGGGCAAGACTTGCATCTGCAAGGCAAATAGCATTTTCAGTAAAGGTGCCACCACTACAGAAGATGCTCTTCTTAGAAGGAGCATCTGTCATCAGTTTTGTCTTGTGTTTGGTGACAGGTAAAGCCTTTTCAATTCAGTTCAAGAATTTGAAATACATGAATATTTGAAATCATTGTACTTGTTGAACTATAAATTATTTTATTGCTTATGGGAATTTTGTTTGCCTTTATTTTATTTTTCTGAAAAATACTACAAAAGTGAAGATAGTTATGATGAAGTGTAATAATTCAGCCAATGTGTGCTTGTTCTTAGCTGCTTGTTTGTTCTTAGTTATCATGATTACTTCAGTCTTGCTGAATAGGATATGATATGTAAACTGCATTGTAAAAATGACAACTATGTCCTACCTTTCTGCTTGGAAATCATCCCTTCCGGGCATCGAATACAATCATAGCAGCAAAATGGCTCCCCTTCCTTCTTTTTCTTGCTGTAACCAGGATAGCAGTTGTCATTACACACAGAAATTGGCACAACCTGTAAAGAAAGATTGGGGATTGAGAAGAATCTGCTATTTTTAGAGGAATTACAGTTTGTTTGGTGGCATAAAGACCAATGATACTTTAAAAATGCAATCGTATACATGTGTATGTGGAGGTGGAACTTGCGTCTAGGTGAACATCTATAGACTGCAGCCTGAACGGAGTAGATTTTCATGCCTAATATTGAGGTCTTAGCTATTTGCTCTCTCCTCAGCTTTCTCCTAGTCCTTCTACCTTCCACCTACCAAATAGCAGACTTCAACCTTTTTGACAGCTGACACACTCTTCAGTGCCTATTTCCCCTTCTATTTAGCTATAATCCCCAGTCAATCAGAACTGACTTTACTCAATCCAGACCCCAACTAGCAATACTCAAATCTCTCCTTCAGAATGTCTAAACAAGTAGTATATAGACCTTTGACAGAATTAAGCCAAGACCTTGGGCTGCCACAAATAGAACATAGACTCATAGAGGTCACACAAAATGAACATTACAGAAAGAGGACTTTTACAAACATGATATTTCTTTACAGTGTTATAAGCTGTTCTCTAGTGGAAAGCTCTGTCTGTCTGTCTGTCTCAATTGACTGATACTGTTTCTTTTTGATTTTTTAATCATGCCGTGCTGTAATTATACTTTTGTTTTAACTTGTTTTTTGTTGTTAGCCACTCAGAACTATTTTTGGTTGAAACACAAGACAGAAGTTAATTAATGAATTAAATTATTAGAAGATGAATAAAGCTCAGATTTGTTAATATCACACTTTTAGTTGTCCCTTTTATAGAGAACTTCTTACAGTATGAACACAAATGTATAAAGATTAATCAGTGGATGATAATAGAAGATAAAGCATGGTAGACAGACCAGTGAAAAATCAGTTTTCTGGTTATGCTGAAAGGTAGAAGCGCAATTCTCTCTTTATCTCACCTGATTAAAATTTCTATGCCAAACTATGTGCTCATCCTGAATGGTTAACTTTTTTCCTTCCAGAGCCCAAGGATCTAGTGTTCCAGTTTTGACTCTTAGAAAAGACTGGTTTGGGAAAGTTACCCAATTTGTCACATCAAGTACTGCAATCGATTCTTGATTTTCATCAAAATGGATGACCTCTCCAGCACTGTTGTTGAATGAGATTCTCCTTAGAAAGGGATGGAGCTAAGTTCAAATAGACATATATAGAAAAAGACAAGAACAACAAGAAAAAGAATAAGACACAGATACATGTTATTTTGGTGTATTGCTTCTTCTATTCCCACGTTAAAATGCTAAACTCTAAGCTAACTTTTTTGCAGAGGTAGGAAAAGTGATGAAAACTGAGTAACAACACTTAATTATTATGAAGGTGAAAAATAATTAATTTTCTACTGTTGCAGGGAGAGTTCCAATATAATTGGTAGTAGCAATATAACTTTCCTATAACTTTCCTTCCTCAAGAAAGCCCTTCGCATTTCTCCAGTTTCTTATGCAACTTCAGTTAGAAGCCCAGCCACATTCCTGTTAACTACATCTTAGCCTAATGCAGGGGTACAGGGATGTGGGGCTGGTTTATCGAACCCCAGACCTTGGCTGGATGACATCAAGCTGTACTGCCCTACTTTTGATATCACGTAAGGGAGCATGCATTTCTCCTGAAAATACATCTGTTTTGTTTTCCCCCTCCACTGATGGATGGACTGCCACTCTGATCTATACAGCATCAGATTGAAAATTGCAATGGCATGAAGGGTGGCAGGACTCTCCCAGAAAAGGAAAAGTGGCTCTGTTCCCTGGAACAGGCCATATTGCCTAACACCCCCTGCTATCTCTAGTTTGAGATCCAAGAGAACATGGTAGCTTTATTGTTGAGATTGCGGTGGGGATGCCCAAGACCCAGCACCTAGGGGAATTTTAGAATGATGCATTGTCAGCAATAATTGGGACACATTGTGGGGCACACCATGGAAACATACCAGTCAGACCATGTTCTCTGCAGGGTGTAATGGACCAATATATGGGCACAGCCTTATTTTTCACGGCAATGGCTGTAAGAACACTACTTTCTCATGATGTAGCACTGTTTTCCCTATTCACTGTGAAAATTCCCTCCTAATACCTCTCTTTCTGGCTTGATAGCAAACCAGCAAAAGATGTGTGGACAAGGAGCACATCTTTGTGCTGCAATCTCTGCTCTTCCTGAAAGGTTATTAAGGTACCCATGCAAAGGCTGTCTTTTTGAGAACGATCAGTAGATGAGTTAGTGGAAGTGAAGTCTATGAAACAGCATAATGGATTATTCATTTATCAGCTTCCACAAATTAAGTATAGTGAAGAAAACCCCTTTTCAATGGCACCAGGCAAGTGCAAATGAGACATTCTACACAAATTTGGAAGGCTCTGTTTTTCTAATCAACACAAGAACAGAAAATCATGTGTTGGGTAAAATTACCTTCCATGCATGTAGATTCTGAGGCAAAAGTTTTCCTCCAGTCACCCTGGATCTGTATTTGGAGTGGGCTTCATACATGGGCTGCAGAGCATGTGCCACGGCATGGGCAGCGTTGTAGACCGCATAGCTCTGCCCAATCATGCTCATTTCAAAGAACGGTCCAGGAAGGCTCTCTAAAGTCTCTTTCCCAGTGCAGCCCTCTCTGGTCTCCTCATGAATATTGGCATTTTTCAAAGAGCAATTAAAAGTATTTTCCCAGAAATCCTGAATAAAGGCATTTTGTTCTACCCATGAAGCATTTACACTCTGAAGAAACTGCCTAAATCTTGGTGGTTGCTTTGAGTGAACTGAAAAGGATAAGGCACCTTGAAAGGATTGTATATCCCAGTCCCTGTGATGGGTACTTCTTTTGAAATCCCACTGTGTTGTCACAATCCATACCTTGCATATAGGTGAATTCAGGACTGCCATATAAAGATACCTATACAAAGTATACATTCCTAAAGGATCTGCATAGAGAACAAATACATTGGCTTTGCTTTCAGTGAGAGCTGAAAGTTGATATAGTTTGGGATTCAATAGTTCTGACATTCCATCAGCATACTTCCATCTCACTATTTTTTCTATAAAAGCAATGCAGATGTGGTTCTGGGAAAGTAGTGGCAGTAATATTTGCAAAAATCTTTCTCCAGTGATATAATCGAGAGTAAAGAGCCCTACCCATGTCCATTTGAAATGCACAAGTAAGTGGGCTATCCCGGTGTACTCATGGATATCATTAGGGACCATTCGGTACAGGTGAGGGAACAGAGATTTCTCCTTCATCCTTGAGTCAAGCGAGCCATAGGTGAACTAAAAAAAAGGAAAGGTATATTTTGTATTTTGTAGCATGTACCTTATGTGTGTGCATTAAATCATTTGCTAACTCAGAAAAAAATTGACTAGGGAATGATACGTCAACATAATGTGTAAAAGACCCCTCCCTGCAAACAAACAAAAGAAAAAACCACAGTCCAGTAAAAGTAGCATATTCATAAGCTAATTCTCAAGAGTATGCACCTATATGTTAGATTTTGCTGCCTGAAGTGAACATCAAGATGGTTCCCATTCTTGACTGACTGACAAGCTGACAGACAGATTTTTCTTCACACTGACAATAGAACAACCTTTCCACTGCATCTGAAGGTAGCAGGACGACTTAAGGAAGTGAGTAGAACAGGTCACCTGGCATGCATATGATGGCTTCTCCCTGGAACACCTAGCAGCCAGGATCTGCCACCTGAGTTGACTTCCTTAATCTACCTTAAGAAGGGCTTGCCCTCTGTTTTTGTTTACTAGCCTACACTTAAGGGAACATGGCACTTCTTATTATGCCATTGAATACTAGCTTCATTTAGACTTATTGGCAGCTCATTTGTTATATGAAATAAAGATAATTATCACACATCTTTATTACAATCCCATCCTGAGATTGTAATTTCATAGCATAGATATGGGACTGAATTATCAGTAACCATACAAAGTAATACAAATTGTATAATATGTGCGCTCTCTCTCTCTCTCTCTCTCTCTCTGTGTGTGTGTGTGTGTGTGTTTAAATTCCTGTCGCTTGATATATCAACAGAATACAGAAAGCCCAATATGCCAGTCAGAACTTCTGCTGGATTTGGACATTTATTCTCATCTTATTTTAATGCCCAGAGTAGAAGATTCCAAGGACCAGATCAGGCATCTACATCTAGAATTTAGTTCATATTTCTGAGTATGATGCCTGGGAGGAGTGGGGGATGGGGGGGCAAGAGCTATTTGCTATTTTTTCAGATGGAATCTCTTAGTATGGGAATGAGCACATGAGATTGTAAATGAATGTCTCAAAGGTACAGCTTGCAATTCATTTGAGTGCCTACTCTGTCTGTCACTCTGTCTGTCTGTGTGCTTATCAGTCTATCTGTCCACCCACCCATCTACCCTCACTTTCCCTCTGAACCAGAAAATGATCCATGATCCATTAAGGAGAATGTTATATGGCATGATATTGTAACACTGATTTGATACCTGTGGAACCTTGTAGGCATTCAAAATGGAGGCCAAGCTGAGGGAGGTTTCAGAGAACATCCCCCCAATGATAGCTACCAAATTGTTCTGGATGCCACATTTGTAATTGGGGCCCAATCTATGCTGTGAAGAAAGGAGATCTAGTGAGGTTCGGTAAGTCATCCGATTATTGTGGTATGCATCATAAATGTGGAATCCCAGTGTGACATTAGGTAGGAGGGTAGGATTTTGGTTTATCTCTTTCACAGCAAATGCCAATGCCAGAATATCCTGATAATTCTTTGGCACTGTACTGAAAGGAGGGGGAAAAAGGAAAAGAAAGCTTGCATGACACAAGGAAAAGTACTGAAATGACATGGAGAAATACTGTTCTTTTAGTCATATACAAGTTATCATTTTTTTTTTCAACTATGTGTAATAGCAGTATTCTAGATGGAATACAATAGAATCCTAGAATAGTAGAGTTGGAAGGGGCCTTGAAGGCAATCAGATGCAACCCCCTGCTATTGCAGGACATTAAGTTACCCATCCCATTTAGATGACTGTTCAATTCACTGCTTTTCTAATTAATTTTGCAATGTACATTGACTGTCCTCACAATCTAGAAATGTCTAGCTGCAGAAAACATGGTAAAGTTTGTTATAAAGGTTTTTAAAAGATTAGATATGGAATTCTTTAAATGCTTAAGAAAAAATGTAGTTAATCTGTGAAAGGTTTCTAGGGCAGTACTTCCCATCTTTGGTGGCATATAACAGAACTTTTACTGGAAATTTCTACTGCCTTTGTTAAATTTTACAAATGCATTGTTGGGGCATAAGAAGAGGTAAAGAAGCATTTCCTCAAGAAGAAGTTGGAGCTTCTTCTGCTCTGTAAGACATCAGGTGTTCAGAGAAAGTTCCTGAATCCTGAAGGTGTCTCAGGACACAGCAGACACATCTCAGCTTGCATTTTCAGTTGCTGTCTAGCCTTCCTAAATTGCTGTTTGTAATGTATGAGGAGTAAGGACACTCCTCATTCATACAGACTCTACATCTGTCCCTCCCCTTAGTACCGCTACTGGAGGAGTGTCCTTTTCTCCACCGTGGGTTCTATTTCAGTCAAAATTGTGGTGGTGGGGGGGGATTGTTCCATTATTTGCAATCTGTTATCTCCCACTAAAGAAAAACTACAAGCTGTTCTGACCTACGATCAATAATCTGTCACAAAAATGAAATAGTTTTTTGGACGGTGTATCAACAAATAGATAATAATTTGCCTTCATCTGGGGCAGTGATGGGAAACCTGTGGCCCTACAGATAGTGCTTGACTGCAGTCCCATCAGTCATAGTCAGTATAGTGGAGCATGTAGGGAAGAGGGAGAGACTGGAAATAAATATGGAAGTATGTACTGATATAGCAGCTACAAGGAAATAAACAAGCATGCCATATAGAAGACAAGATCAAGAAAGCTGCAAACATTTAATGATCCTATATAATGAATGAAGTGCTAGAAAAAATGGAATTCATCTTTTTTTCTTTTTTTTTAAAGAAGCTGCAGCTAATAAAATGACCACAGTACCTCAATGCAGTGTGGATGTGATCTTCCAGAGGTGGGGAGGGGGAGCAAAGGGGTCCATCAAGCATTTACTGATGAAGCAAATAAAGTTACAGTAAGTAAAAGTGAACTTCTTACATGACTTCTTTGATCAACTGTGAAGAAGGCTGTTTGCTGAAATTTGTATTGAAGCGGAAAAATAAGAATACAGAAGCAATTTCTCCCAGGACAAAGTCTCCTGACTGAAAAATTTCATGCAAAATAGGGTAAGAGTCAATTGCTTTGCCTGTAATAGCAGGCATCTTCAAACTGGGAAGGATGCAATCTGTCTTGTTCATGAAATGAGGCAAAAAGCTAAGCAGTAATACCAAATATAACACAATTTTAAGGGCAAGATGCTCCTTCCAGTTGTACATTTCTGCTTTTCCTTCAGCTGTGTTTAACATCTTCACATCAGCTTGTCCTCAAACTGTTTTAAACAGATGTTGAGCCTATTGTTATATTGCTCTATTAACATAAAAGATGCTCCTATCAATGTTCCCCTGGCCCTATTTTAGAATTCTGAATTAATGTTTACTTTATCATTTCATTTATAGCTATTTGGTGGTTTTCAGATATTCCTTGGGGTTCAGTAGAAAGGAAAATTATACACATATAATTATAGGATAGCTTCCCATCTGTTTTCCAGGGCTGTAACATGAAGAGAAAAAAACAAGTATCTGGAGAAGTATGAACTTGTACACCAGCCATTTTTTGTCTGTACTTGTGAAGTTGCGGTTCAGTGTTTGTGGCTTCAGTCTTTTGTGGGATTTCTTTCCGAGCGAGTCCAAGTCGGTCTTGCAAGTAAGGTGGCGCCTCACCATGTGGTGGCTTACTTGCAAGGAGATCGTTTCCTCTGAGTTTGGACTCTTTTGGAGAAAACGATCTCTGCATGTGCTCACCCCTGCCTCACCGCACGTGTGCACCCACCCCTCAGCCTGGCTCAGGCCATGCCTCCCTGGTGGCCAGCACCCATTGCTGGCATCAAATTTGAAGTTTTTCACAATTCGCAGGTGCTGTAGGAACTTAACCCCTGCAAATTTTGGGGGACTACTGTAATCAGAAGAAAATTGCCCTGTTTCTTGCTGTAATTAGTTCGGAAGGATTTCCTTTTTTTTTTAGAAAATTTTTATTAAGATTTTAAACTAAAACTACAAACATCAATCATTGCACACATCAGTTTTACTGGGTCAGCCCCCTACAACATATCTTTTAACATTCTATGATCATACTAAAATCCATTTATAATAACATGAAAACATCTGTAGATCAAAACCAAGTCCCGTTTCTCCAGTCAAATAAAAAAGTAATTCCAAATTTGATAGAAGTCACTATCTTTCTTCTTCTTCATTGGTGAAATCATGTCCCATCCTTTTTTGCAAAGTCCTGTTTCTCTCAACCATTATTTAAAGGAAGCTTCTCCAAGTTGAGTGAAATTACAACATCTTCTTTCTTCTTCAGTGATAAGTTCCATCTAAACATTTCTGAACAATTAAAAAACTATCCATTTTTCTAATGATAAATAACTTCCTCACTACCGCAATTACTAGGAACTTCAAAAAGGTCTACTTGAGATCTAAAAAGGCATCCTAACTACTCTGCTTGGTGATAACTTTAAGCCAATTTTCTTTTTATTTATTTATTTATTTATTTTTGGATTTATATCCTGCCTTTTTCCTACAAAGGGCTCAAGGCAGCTTACGTCATTCTTCTCCTCCATCTTATCCCCACAACAACAACCTTGTGAGGTAGGTTGGGCTGAGAGTCTGTGACTGGCCCAAAGTCACCCAGTTGGCTCCATGGCTGAGCAGGGACTCGAACCCAGATCGTCTGAGTCCCAGTCCCAGGCTCTTAACCACTACACCACACTGGCTCTCTTTAAGCTTTAAGCCAATTTTCTTTAAACTCACTTACTAATGTTTCATCTAACTTAAACACCATTTAATCAAATATAGTTAACTCCATACACTATCACATATAGACTTGCCAAACCATATAAGTAATTGTTTTTTTTAAATAATAAGTTCTCCTATTTTCAATTACAGATATAGTCAGGGATATCCATTTAACAATGTTTCATTAAGCTAGTTTGTTAGGTTTTAACCAACCATATTAAATTAGCCTTTCTGTGTCTCATGTGAGTGTACCAGTCTATTTAAATCATCCTTTTTAAGATGAAAAGAAGAACAAAAAGAAAGAAAAAGATATCTACAGTTATAAATAGCATCAAAAGCATCCCTTTTTATCATCTCTAAAAGCAGCTTAACAACTCTATTTGGTGATTATTAATACCTATAATTTATTCTCTTATTTTCAAATACAGATAAAATCAGATACATCCACTTAACATCTTTAAAAGCACCATTAATTAGTCTATTTGGTGATAACTAATACCTATAATATCTTTTAGCCAAGATTTCGTTAAACTAAATTACTGATGCTTCACCGAGAACAGTAGCTTAGCTTTTCTACATTACATATGAGCATATCAACCTCTATCCATTACCCTTTTTGAAATAACAAGAAAGAAAGTTCTCTTATCTGTTCAGAAGGATTTCCAATCATATCTAAAGAGCCCTCAATACATACAATTGAAAATCCAGAGGCAAAATAGACTTCCTAAAGATGGGATGTAGACTGTACACTCATGAACTGTCATTTCCCTAGGGTCAGATGATCCTCCTTTTCTCCATTTGATCCTCACAACAATTCTGTGTGGTAGGCTAGACTGAAAGTCAGGAACTGTCATGTCCTCTCTAGAGGCCCCTTCTTGAGACAATGATCTGGAGCCACCTGTGTCAGAAGCTAATGGAGAAAAAAACGTTTTGGGATAACCAAAAAGGTTCTGTGCCCTCAGGAGGTAGGACCACATGTCTTTCCCCTCAAAAAGTAAAAAGATAAAGGTTCAGACCATGACCAAACAAAGGAGTGCCTTCATGTAGAAAAGGCCTCCTTGGGAGCAGGACAAGTAAGACTTTGCTAGCAGGTCTGCAAATATTTGCAACAGAATCCTGAGCAGAGTTCAAGAAGTTCTGAAAACAGAAGTCTTTCAATATCAGTCCAGTCCTTATATCCTGCTCTGGTGGCCAGAGGTCAGACTAGATGGCCTGGGAGACCCCTTCTGACTCGCTCTGTTGCTATGTTTCTCCAAATTAATCATGTTTAAAAACTGATGCTGCCTTGTCAGATTCAGAGAAGCATGATGAACCATGCCAAAGAAACATAGAAACATCTAATCTGACCTCTGGCACCATCCGGCTCCACTCATGACATGCCCACCGTGTGGACGTCCACCCTATCCTTGAACACCCACACTGATGGGGCCACAACGACCTTTTGTGGAAACGCATTCCACACCCTCAGGGTCCTGATTGTCAGGAAGTGCTTCCTGGCATCCAAATAGAACCTTGGCTCCCTGAGCATTGCTCCGTTGGAGCGTGTCCTGCCTTCCTCTGCAGGGGAGAACAGGTCTCTACCCACCTCCATGTGACATCCCCTCACATACCTGTATGTCGCCAACAGATCCCCTCGGAGTCTCCTCTTCTCCAGGCTGAAGAGACCCAGTTCCCTCAGTCTCAACTCATACCCCATCCACTGCTAACCAGCCACCAACCTTGTGGCCCTACGCTGCACTGATTCCAACCTGGCTATATCCTTTCTGTAATGAGTGGCCCAAAACTGAACAAAATACTCCAGTTGCGGGCGCACCAGAGTCGTGTAGAGTGGTAGTAATACCTCTCTTGATCTAGAAGCCACACTTCTGGCTATGCAACCAAGGGTGGAGTTCACCCTCTTGACCACTGCATCACACTGCTGACTCATGTTTAGCCTGCAGTCAACCAGTACCCCGAGGTCCCTTTCACAAGTGCTGCTCTCCAGCCACTTGTCACCTAACCTGTACTTATGACAGCTATTCCTATGTCCCAAGTGCAAGACCTTGCACTTATCCACATTGAACACCATCCTGTTGTCTCCTGCCCACTTCCATAGACTGTCCAGATCCTTTTGGATCTGGAGTACCTGCTCCTCAGTTGTGGCCACTGCTCCAGTTTGAGTGTCGTCTGCAAATTTGATCAGAAGACTATTCACCCCTTCTTCCATGTCGTTAATGAAAAGATTAAACAGGATCGGCCCCAGGACAGAGCCCTGGGGGAACCCGCTTGTCACTGGCCGCCATCCCAATGATTCCCCATTAATTGTAACCTTCTGCTTTTGGTCAGTCAACCATGCCCTAATCCACTGGACAGTGTTTTGGTGTATCCCAAAACTCCTCAGTTTCTCCACCAGGATATTATTGGGCACTTTGTCAAAGGTCTTGCTGAAATCCAGGGATACCACATCCAATGCGTCCCCTCCATCTAGCCATCTCAAAACCTTGTCATAGAATTCCACAAGGTTTGTCTGGCAGGACCTGTTTTTGCGGAAGCTGTGTTGTGTGGCTGTTACCCTCCCTTCCCTATCTAGTATCACTAGATCTCTCTTTATTATGAGCCTTTCCATTGTTTTTCCTACAATGGACATAAGGCTAACCAGTCTGTAATTCCCCATGTCCCATCTACTACCCTTTTTGAAAATTGGGACCACTGATGCCACCCTCCAGTCCTCTGGAACTTTACCTGTTCTCCATGAGGTTTCAAAAATGGAGGCCAAAGGGCGTGAGAGAACCCCTGCCAACTCTCTAAGTACTCTCGGGTGTAACCCATCAGGGCCTTGCGCCTTTGTAATGTCCAATGCCCTGTGGAGTCCCTCGACTTCAAGCGGGGTGACTCTAATCTGTGCCCTGAAGTCCCCAGCCTCATCTAATCTCCTATGCGGATATCCCCCATTTAGCATCTGTGCCTGTTCCCTCTTATCAGTCACTGGATCTCCTCCTCCTTATTTAGTGGTCCCACCACTTGTCTCCCCTTCCTATTCCTATTTACATGCTGAAAAGAAGCCCTTTTTGTTGCTTTTGATATTCTTGGCAAGTCTCAGCTCGTAATCTGCCTTAGCCTTGTGAACAGTCCTTCTGCAATGGGCCTCCTCCTACCGGTATACCCTTTTGTCTGTTTGCCCCAGTACCCATTTCCTATGGAGGTTCATCTTTTGTCTAATCCCTCTAACCACCTCCTTTTGCATCCGTGGCGGCACTCTCCTCCGCCTCCCCACCTTACTGACTAGAGGTATCATCAAGCCTTGCACCTCCAAAACTTCCCTTTTGAGTGCTATCCACCCCTCCTCAACTTGCTTGCCTTCCAGTAACCTATCCCAGGAGACTTGCCCC